AGAAATCTGGCACTGCAGGCATCCCTGCAAAAATAAACGCGGGGCGGCGGATCGAAGACGCCTACGGCGAATCACCGCCGCCCCCATGCCCCTTTGGAAGCGCCTATGTGGCCGACAGCTGGGCCAGAGCTTGGCCCTGCTATCGGGCCAGTTGTTCCCCGAGTCAGTTTGGAAAGACTTCGGGGAACGCGTGGGGGAGCGGGAAAAGAGACGGAGAAGGAGAGAGGAGAAACAGCAGGAGGGAACAGGAAGCTTTTGAAAGCTTCTTGGGGCAATTTTGGGCTCTGGGTGCTTTGTTGGAACTTGCTGTGGACCTTTTTAAGGCTTCTTGGGAGGCCTCCTTGGCCTTCCTGGGGGCCTCTGGGGACTCTTTGAGGGAGTCTTTGGTCGTCTTACGGCGTTCCTGGCCCATCTGACGCCGTCGGAGAACGTCTTTCAGGCCTCACGGAGCCGACTTCAGGCCCTCATGGGCCGTGTCAGGGCGGTGTTCGAGGCAGTCTAGGCGTCTTGGAGGCCTCTTGGGTCGTCTTGGGGCCTTCTTGGGCCCTCTTGGGGGCCTCTTGAGCTGTCATGGGGACATCTTGAAGGGCTCCTGGGCGATCTTGGCGTCTTGGAGGCTTCTTGGACGAACTGGACACATCTTGGACTCTCTCGGGCCGTCTTGGAGGCCATCTTGGACCATCTTGGGCAGACTTGGAGGCCATCTTGGAGGCCATCTTGAGCGTCTTGGGGGATTTTTCCGCGATTGAGCTCCTGGAGCTCCTTTCGGGTGGCCGGCGATACGGGCCGAAGCGCCAGGGAGAGTTCTTTTGGAAAAAAACAAAAACAAAAGCGAAAGGAGTCAGCACGCCAGGCACCCCTTGTGATGAATCAACAGGGGGCGGCGGAAAACGCCAATGTGGCCGAGAGTTGGGCCAAAGCTCGGCCAAGCTAGCGGGCCACTTGTTCCCCGAGTCGGTTTGGAAAGACTTCGGGGAACGCGTGGGGGAGCAAGAAGTGGAGGAGGGGGAGGAGCAGGAAGAATGAGGAGGAGGCCTCTTGGGCGCCTCTTGCACTCTTGGGGCCTCCTGGGAGCTTGCTGGGGGCCTCTTGGAGGCCTCTTTGGGGCCTCCTTGGGCCTGCTGGGGGCCTTTGGGGGCTTCTTGGGGGTCTCTTTGGCCGTCTTAGGGCGTTCCTGGCTTGTCTGACGCCGTCGGAAGCCGTCATGGAGGCCTGTCTGGGTCGTCTTGGGGCCCTCTTGGGGCATTTCAGGGCCGTCTTCGAGGCCATCTTGGGCGTCTTTGACGCTCTTGGGCCGTCTTGGGGCCGTCTTGGGAGCTTTTTGGGCCGTCATGGGGCCATCTTGGAGGCCTCGTGGGCGATCTTGGGGCGATCTTGTGAGCCTCTTGGGCCGTCTTGAGCTGTCGGAATGCCGAGAAGAAGCAAATGCCAAAATCCTTCAAAACCTCAAGGAAGAACATGATGTTGGTCTCTTCGGACCCTCCTGGGGGACCTCTTGGAAGCCTCTAGGGCTGTCTTGGAGACCTCTTGGGGGCCTCTTGGGCCGTCTTGGGCAATATTGAGGCCATCTTAGGCCGTCTTGTAGGCACCTTGGGCCTTCTTGGAAGCATCTTGGGGTCATCTTAGCCGTCTTGGAGGTTATCTGGGCCGTCTTGAATGCCTCTTGGGGCCGTATTGGGGCCGTATTGGGGGTCTCTTGGGCCGTCATGGGGCCACCCTGGAGGCCTAGTGGGCGGTCTTAGAGCGATCTTGGGGGCCTCTTGGGCCGTCTTGAGCCGTCGGAACGCAGAGAAGAAGCAAATGCCAAAATCTGTCAAAAACCCAAGGAAAACCAATGATCTTGGCCTCTTCGGGCCCTCCTGGAGGACCTCTTGGAGACCTCTTGGGTCGTGTTGGACCGTCTTGGAGGCTTCTTGGGCGACCTTGGAAGTATCTTGGACTCTCTGGGGCCGTCTTGGAGGCCGTCAAGGACCATCTTGGGCGGACTTGGAGGCCATCTTGGACCATCTTGGAGGCCATCTTGGGCCAACGTGGCCATCTTGGAGGCCATCTTGGGCCATCTTGGAGGATTTGTTCCCGGATTGAGGTCCTAGGCCCCAGAGGGGATCCGAATTCCGGTGTCAAAGGCGGGGGGGAGAAATCTGGGAAGGTGTCCCGGTCTGGGGCCAGGCCCCAGGTACCCCGGCATATGATATGTTCTAGCGTGTTGCTTGCGGAGCGTCTGAGTACAAGTGAGCATGAGTGTGAGCATGAGTGAGTCTGCCTGTGAGCGCCTGACGTGAATAGGTCCGAGTGAGCCTGATTATGCATGGCTGTATGTAAGCGGCTCTGGACATGAGCGGTAATGGATCGGCCTGGACATTCGTGAGGAAATCCCGCACTCTGGGCCGAGGAAGTCCCCGCAATCTAAGCACGAACGGGCCCCCCCATCGGGAGGCCCAAGTGCCACGCCTGCAACATCGCCGTGATCGGGTGGCTCCGAGACGAGGCTCGTCCACTGGGCCAGACCAGTCGGTTCGCCCCTGAGAGGTCCCCACAATCTGGGCGCGAACGGGCCCATGCAACACCCTTGGACGAAACGCCCTTGGATGGCTCAAATGCCAGGCCTGCCACATCGCGGTAAACGTACAAGTGCATACTTCCCGAAACGGGCGTTCCACATGAGAGACCCCACATATCTCGCAGCAAACAGCCCCGTGCAACACCCGAGTCTGGGCGCGACCCGGCCAGCGCAACGCCACTGGTCAGCACCCCTTGCATGGCTCTCATGCCCTGCCGTGCGGCATCGCGGTGATGATGGGGATCTGAGCACCTGCACGCGTACTTGCACAAACGGGCGCTCTGCGTGCGAGATCCCTCCAACCGTGGCGCACACGGGCCCGTGCAACACCCCTGGTCGACAGCCCCTCGAGTGGCTCGAGTGGCTCGGGTGCCTGCCTGCAACATCGCGGCGGCGATCATTGGGCTCTGAACAGAAACGCGTGTACTTTCCAAAACGAGCGTCACAACTCAGAGGTCCCCACAATCTGTGCGCGAACAGGCCCATGCAACACCCCTGGTCGACACGCCACTCGGTGGCTCAAATACCATGTCTGTTACATCGCGGTGGTCACGGGAGCCAGGCCACTCCCTAATACGAACGTTCTGCCTGCGAGGCCCAACCAACCTGGACGCGAACGGGCCCGTGCAACGCCCCTGGTCGATTCCCGCTTGGGAGGCCCGAGCGCGAGAGCGCCACATCGCGGTGATCACGGGGCTCTGAGGAGAGGCGCGTCTGCTTCCCAAAACGGGCGTTCTGCGTGCGAGCTCCCACGAATCTGGGCGTGAACGGGCCCGTGAAACACCCCTGGCCAACCCGTCTTGAGCTGGAGCGTGATGCCTGCCACATCGCGGCGGTCGGGGGGGGCCTGAAACGAGACTCCTCAACTTCCCGAAGCGGGCGGTCTACCTGGGAGATATATACCACTCTGGACGCGAACGGGCCGTGGAACACCCCCGGGTGGCTTCCCCACTGGGAGGCCCGAGCGCGATGCCAGCTGCATCGCGGCGAGTCTGAGAACCCGACTGTGCCAGCCACATCGCGGCCTCCTCGCGTGCCCATCATACGCGAGGAGGCCGCGTCTTGTGAGCGGGCCCGAGTGTCCGTGAACCTGATTATGCACGAAGGAGGGCCGAGTGTCGACGGGTCTCGGGATGCGTGGGCCTGAATATGCTCACCATACTGCAGTCGAACCAAGACACGAGACCCTCCGCCAGCCAAAACGCACAGAACATCCAAGGGTACCCTAACCAGATTGCACAAGATCATCCAACAAACACGAAGAGCCTTAGGGCACCCTCCCCGAACCGACCTCGATTGTACGCCTCGGTCCGACTGTAGAGCGTAAAACGACGCATCGGCGACGCACCTGCGACGGCGCGGTGGAGAGACAGGCGGGCCCTGGGCCGCGCCGAGTCGCCGATGCACCAGCGCTGCGGCGCGCTCCCCCGACCTCGTCTGCTCTGGCCCCGCGATGGGGGGTAAGACGAAGCCAGGACGAGGATAAAATCGGGTGAGCATAAATCGAGATCTTCTTAAATCTGGCGGCTCTGGAGGATGTGTCGGGCGCCGCGGCCCTCTCAGAGCGTTCCGGACCGCTCTGAGTGTTCTGGCTCGCTCGGGAACGGATTTACCCTCGTCCTAACCCCGTCCCGTCCGAGGAGGGCCTGGAGGCACCCTCCCGAGCCGCTTCCGGACGGCCCCGGGGCCCCCAAAAAAGGATCCCACGAAGACCGTCCGCAAAGGAAAGCCGATGCCGATGCTCCCCAGATCTCTCCTGGGGTGCGCCTGGACCAAGGCTTCGAGGCGCGCCCAGCTGTGGCGACGAGGGCCTCCCAGGAGGCCTGATAAGGCGAGAACGAGGCAAGGGTAGCGGTGTCGGTAAAAGCTTGTATAGGCCTCCTATGTGCAGTCGGAGTGGCCTCCTAGAAGCGGTCGGAGGAGATTGGGTCGGAGGATCGCGCCGCATCGCCGACGCATCGGCGATGCATCGCCGATGTATTGGCGATGCATCGGCGCTGTCGGTGTGGAGAAAGAAAGGCTCCATATCGAGCCGCATCGCCGATGCATCAGCGATGCGGAGCGATCCTCCGGCCCCATCTGCTCGGACGCCATCTTTGAGGCGTGGATTCTCCTCTGGGAAAAACCGTTCCGCCGTGGCCCTTGGCGGCGCGCACCAAAGGGTAGGGGGAGGGGGGAAGGCTTCTTAGGAGGTCGGTTCTTGGAAGGTGCCAGCCTTGCATCTACAGGTAAGGCCCGCGCCTTCCAAGAAGCAGGGGCGCTTCAAAAGAAGCCTTCCCCCTCCCCCCGAGCCCCCCTCTGCGCGTGGCCGAACCTTCCTCCTGTGAAAAAAACGCTCCGCCGTGGTTCTCTCACGTCGCAAGGGCTCCCCAGACCCCAGGGCAGCGCGTGCCCACGGCAGGAGCCCGCGCGCAGCAGCGCTGGGCGACGGGGGGCGCGCCTCCATGACGCGCCAGAACTGCCCGGCCCGGCCCTCCCGCAGGAAGTCCGCCTCCGACTTCGGCAGGACGTACCTCGAGCGGCTCTCCCCCTCTACCTCCCCCTCGTCCCCCTCCTCCCCCTCCTCCTCCTTCTTCTCGTTCGCCTCGTCCTCGTCCTCCTCCTCGTCCTCCTTGCCTCCCCCTTGTCCTGTTCCTCCTTGCGCAGTGTTGTTTGCCCGTCGCGTCGCAGTCGTCACAGAGAGGCTGCTGAGCGGCTCTCCCCCCGTACGGCCACCGTGCTGCCACTCTTTCGTCGGCTGCTCTGGCAGTCGCAAGCGCGCCTGTCGAGCCCGTGGGTCGCAGCGGGCACGGGGCACCCAGAGGGATGGAAAAGCAGAGGGCGGCCGCGGAGGCAGCAGGACGGGGGCGGCCCGAACCGTCGAGGGCCGTCGGGGCGGGAGCGCGCCGGCGGCCTCGGGCACCAGGAGCCAGTGCTCTCGCAGCTTGTGCGGGTCAGCACGTGCTGCCGGGGGGGGGGGGCAGCGCCAGAGACCACCGAGAGACATGGAAGGCTCGGGGAGCGTCCACGGACCACCTCGCCGACCCTGGCCGGGCCGATCTCGGGTCTGGACCAGGGTCTGCCCAGACTTCGGGCGGACTGCCATCTTCAATCCAGATGTGGTTTCTCCGCTCCGGCCTCCGGAGGGGCATTTTCGGGCACGGGGACCATGGAAAATACATCCCGAGCGAAAATGACCCCCCTCGAGCATCGATCGACGGCGACGGCGACATGGCTGCCAGTTGTAGAGCTGCCCAGCTCCACACACCAACAAACTCTGCGGCTGGGCCCGTGCCTCTGCAGGCCCGCGGGAATCGTAGAGGGAGGTGCGGGGTGCGGAGGAAGGAGAGGGGAAAAAGGGCAAGCCAGGTGCGCTCGCGCCATGCCTAACATCCTACCCCTCCCTCCCATCTCTTCCCGTTGCGCTGATGCTTCATATATCTGCCGACGCGTGTCATAGCGGACCTGGAATTCCAAAAGGACCCCATCGCGTTTTGCGCATTCGGGAGAGGGGAGCTGCGTACATAGGAGGAGGTGGCAGTCGAGCAGGAGAATGAGCAGGAGGAGAAGGAGCTGAGTCAGGAGGGAGGAGGACGACGACGAACAGCAGCAGCAGCAGCAGCAGGAGCTGGAGGAGATGGGAACGGCAGGAGCAGAAGGACCGGGGGAAGGTGGCGGAGAGAAAGGAGAAGGCGACAACGACGAGGACGGACTTGGATCCAGAAAAATGGCCCGCGATGGGGCGAGAGCGCCATTCCGAACGACGGGAGCAGAGCGTCGATCCGAAAACGAGGCCCCAGATGCAGTGGGAGCGCCATTCTGGAAGGGCCAGCAGTCGGATTGCACACAGAAAAACCACTCGCACCAGTCATGTTCAAAGAAGAGCACACCGAAAGGGGCGCGCTACTCTCCGCACGTTCTCGGAGGAGAGAGGAGAATCGCATGCGGTGCTCCTATTGTGCAACTGTAAGTCTGGAAGGGAGAGGAGGGCGTGGGAACAGGGGGCCGCAGAGGGTAGACGGGTCGTGCGGGGCCAACCCAGGGCCGAAAGCCTGGGAGCCGAAAGCCATTCACCGAAGAAAGGAATAGCCTTCTCTGCCCTCGCGCCTTCTGGGCAGCTCTCCGAGCCTCCTCCAGAGACACAGAAAACGCACCAGGCGGCCGAAAGGCTTCCGAAAAGCCCCGCCGGCGCAGGCGCGCCGCCGAACCGGAGCTCGCGCCGCAGCGAGGACGCGAGGACGTTGAGATGGACCGCCGGAGAGCAAAATTGGGGGGCCTCGCGCTCGAGGCCACGGCGACCTCGCGCGGCGGCGCGCGAGGGCCACGCACACGCGGCACGCCGCGCGGAAAGCGGGGGCGCGGGCGCGCGGCCCTGCGCGAAGAGCTCCCCCGCGGAGGAGTGCGCGCCGTCGACTCCCCTCTCTCTCCCTCTCTCTCTCTCTCGCTCCCTCTCTCTCGCTCGCTCCTCTGCGCCGCCCACGTGGGCGACGAGCAGAGGCGGGTCTTGCGCACGGTGACGGAAGGACCTTACGCGGTGGCGTCCACGGGCCGCCAGCGCGGCACGCCACATTCGGAACGAGAGAGCCCACGCGCGACCCTACGCTGGCAGCCCACGCGGGCGAATGCCGGCGAAGTCGAGCCCGTTTTTCTGTGCCGCTCATGCGGCCGTCGATGTGTACGATGCCTCTGTGCCTAATTCGCGCTCTACGATCTACCGTAACCCTGGTCAGTGCCGGACCGCAACTCGGTTCCAAGACGCCGCCGATCTAACAGAAGTACCCGTCGATCGGGAGCGATGGGTTAGGGCGACGAGATCTATGCATATCCACTGCTCCTGGCCAGGCCAATCCTGGGCCCAGGAGCGGTATATACGCCCTCCTGGTCTGGCCAGGGCAGCATATACACAGCTCCTAGGCCCAGGATGGGCCTGGCCAGGAGCAGTGGATATGTATAGATCTCGTCGCCCTATGGGTGGAAGCATGAAGTAGAAAGCGTTGATTGGATGTCGGCCCGACCCCTGAAGGGGAAGGAGAAAAGGGGAACCCGCTCGACTCCTGAAGTAGGAGGGCGCCTAAAGTAGATTGGGATCTAGGGATCCACAAATACCTACTTTCCACGACTGGCGTGTGGTGGTCGATGATTTTGCTGCCCCCATGGGGGCGGGGCTGCTGGTGGGCCAAGTCGGTCAACAGGAGGTCAAAGGGAACGAACGAACGAACGAACGAACGCCAGATCCGTGCGCACGCCGCGTGGGCGCCCGCACGCGCCCGTATGGGCATGGCGGTGGAGGCCGTAGCCTCGAAGCGGGAATCACATCTGGTGTATCTGGAGAGAGCATGCAATGCGATGTGTATATATATATATATATATAATTAGGAAAGGAGGGAGGGAGGGAGGGAGGGAGGGAGGGAGGGAGGGAGGGAGGGATCCTTCATGTCGGTATCGGCGCAAAGCTCGAATGCTTATGTGTGTGTCTGCGTGGCAGGGCTATGGGGGGAGGGAGGGAGGGAGGGCAAAGTCCTTGACGTGGATGTCGGCGTGATGCTCGTTCACGTGTTGATGTAGTCGTGCTCGAGGTTCACGTGTTGATGTAGGGGGTCAAAGGGAAGGGGACAACAAAGGGTGGGACCCGTGCATCGGCTGCAGGCGGCTGGTTCCCAGCACCACGGGCGGCAGCGAATCGAGGAATGTGCCGGGCAGCGGGGCTGCGACCAGCTGCGTGCAGCAAATTTATCGACCCCCTCTCTTTCCCAGTGCCCCTTTTGTCCGAACCGACTGGGGCCTTCCTGGGCGAATCATAAAAGTATAAGCGCCCGCGACGAGGCCAAGCTCGCAGACCGACCGAAACGATAATTAGCGAGACCAAAGCCAGCCGAATCCGATGGACCGAAAGCAGCCTGGAGAACGCAGCGGCTCGGCAACCGGCCGAACCGAGCCAGGCGAAAGCATCCGACATCCGAGAGAGCGTGATCCACCGCCGCTTTACTGTGGAAAATTGCCAACCTTTTCCTCCGGAACCCGGGGGTCGCCCCCCCCCCCCTCCGAAAATCCCACCAGCCCCTGCTGGACCCCCCCCCACCCTCCCCCGGCAAAACCCCCCCCTCCCCTAACCCCTCCCCCCCCCCCTCCCACTCGAAAGCCGGGGGGGTCACTACCGGTTCGAACCCCTCCCCCCCCCCCCCCCTCCGGATCCGGAAGACCGGGGGGGGTCACTACCGGTTCGGACCCCCCCCCCCCCTCGAAAACCGGAGGGGGGGTCACTACCGGTTCGACCCCCCCCCCCACGCACCGCCAGCAAACGACTCCCGGTCCCTACCACCGTCCGCATCACATCCCCCACTGTTGTTCCCAGCACCACTGTCCTCACCACCACTGTCCCCACTGGTTCCACCACCGTCCCTACTGTCCCCACCAGTGCCCCCACCACTGTCGCACTGTCCCCACTGTCCCCACCACTGTTCCCACCACGGTTCCACTCTCCCCACTGTCTCCACGGCCCCAACCACTGCCCGACTATCCCCACTGTCCCCACTGTCCCACTGACTCCTCCGCTGTCCCACTGAGCTGTCCCACTGTTCCCACCACTGTCCCCACTGTCCCCACCACTGTCCCCACTGTACCTCTGTCCCATTGTCCCACCGCCGTCCTCGCCACCGCCTTCACCACTGTCCCCACCACCATTGTACCCTCCACTGTCCCACTGTTTCCACCTCATTCCCACTGTCCCCACACCACTGTCCCCACCACCACCGTCCCCACCACTGTCCACTGTCCCCCCTGTTCCCACCATTGTCCCCACCACTGTCCCCACCACTACCGTCCCCACCACTGTCCCACTGTCCCACTGTCCCCACCACTGTCCCGCTGTCCCCTCACCACTGTTCCCACCAACACCGTCCCCACCACTGTCCGCACCCCCACTCGGTTTTCGAGGGGGGAGGGGGGTTCGAACAGGTAGTGACCCCCCCCCGGTTTTCGAGGGAGGGGGGGGGGGGGTTCGAACCGGTAGTGACCTCCCCCCTTTCCATGATGAACTGGGGGGGGGGGGGGGGTTCGAACCGTAGTGACCCCCCCCGGTTTTCCAAAAGGGGGGGGGGGGGGGAGGGGTTCGAACCGGTAGTGACCCCCCCCGGTTTTCCGCCAGCAGCGGTAGAACACGCTCTTTCCGACATCCGAAGGCATTCGACTTAGCGATCGTCGTCGTCGTCGTCGTCGCCGAGATCGAGGCTGTTGGCCCCGGCGCGCGCCCCCCGCGCGCGCGCGAGGCAGCCTGTAGGGGACCACGTCCTCGGCGGCCTTGGGTATGAAGCCCTGCCTGAAGGGCGGCGCGCCCGGCACGGAGCTCAGCCGGCTGTCGTGGTACTCGTGCTGCAGGGCGGGCTCCCGCAGGGCCACCGGCGCGAGCGCGGACGCGCCTCGTGCAGGAGGAAAAGAAGGAGGAGGAGGAGGAGGAGGAGGAGGAGGAGGAGGAGGAGGGGGGGAGGGGGAAGGAGGAGGAGTGAGCAGGAGGGAGGAGGAGGAGGAGGAGGAGGGGGAGGAGGAGGGGGGGGGGACTGGCCACACCCAGGGCCTCGGGCGCCCCGGCGGCCTGACTCGTCCCGCCGCCGGGACCTCGAGGTCTCGGCCAGACGAGGCCGAGATTGGGGCAAGCTCGGCTCGGGACGGCCCCTGGGACCTCTGAGAGCCATAGCGCCGCGGCCTCTTCCGAGAGCGTTCCGGAGCGCTCCTGGGCGACTTGTCCCGATCCTGGGCCTGCGCGGCTCGGCCCCTTCCCTGGTTCCTCGCCCTGGGTCTCGGGTCTCGAGTTGAGGGTCCGGGGTGCCACAGATCCAGCAAGGACGCCGAGATTGGAAAAGAACCTCCGTGGGGAACGAATCCCACCAGCCCTCCGAGCGCAGCTGGTTCAGCCTTACTCCCCTTCGGTGAGGGCCAGAATCCGTCCAAAATCAACGGAAAACACTAGGAACTGTACCTTCTTGCCCTTTCACTTCTGGTGGGCTCCTACGGCCTCAGCATGGCTGCAAGAGGGACCAAGGCAGTCCCATGAAGGGTCCAACAGGACTCCAAGAGGTCTCAAGAGCGCCCAAGAGAGCCCTGAGAGCGCCCTCACCGCATCCAGAGGAGCGACATTTCGGGCATTAGAGGGGTTCAGTAAGGATCCTCCCTTTTTGACCGATGGCCCGCAAGATAACCCCAAGACGGCCCCAGAGGCCTCCGAAATTGCAAAAAGATTGCCCAATGTGGCCCAAGCAAGCTGCCAAGACGCTCCCAGATCGCAGGATCCGCGAGGGCACTTCTGATTGACTCCTGGGCCTACTCAGGCTGATCCCGATCTCCGGCTTTGTGGCTGCCCAGCTCTGTTGTTCCTCCGCGTGCTCCCACACTTCCCTGATCCATGCTGCTCCCCTTGGCATCGTTTCTGGATGGGCTGGTGAGGATACTGTTTTGATCGCGACCGCGAGCGGGCACCCGCGCGGCGTCGGAATGGTGGCGAAAACGACAGGCGATGCCCACGGCAACGCGGCAGAGGCGGAAGCGAACGGTAACGGCTGGTGCTGATACGCGAGGCGTCGATAATTCCATCTCGAGTCGGAGGCGCAGCCAGCCGCGGCAGCACCGGGACAAAGAAGTACACAAACTGATCCAGCGTGTGCAGCTACTCCTCCCTGGCCTCCTGCACACAATACGTGGTGTTTGCAACGCGTTCCATGCATTATCGGACCCGAAGATTTTTGCCGATCGCACGCCCGCCCGCCCTCCCGAACGTTTGGCTCCGTCATGGTGGGCAGAAAACTAATAAACTGGAAAAGGGCTATGCTATGTTGCATCTTCGGGGGGGGGCCTCATCTGACCCACCCCGCCAACCATCCGTGCCGCATCCGTGTCGAATGCGTCGAATCCGTATCGAATCCGCGTCGAGCCCGTGTGGAGTCCACATCGAATTCATGTCGAATCCGGGTCGAACCCACGTCGGAGTACAAGAAGAGACTCGATTACGGGACGGAAAAGGACCCCCGGAGATGCACAGTAGCTTGACGAGTAGTATGTCAATCCGACGTTCCAAACAGCATCACTTGACACCACCGCCCCTCAGCTCCGTCCCGCTCCACACCTTCCAAGGAGTGCCCAAATTATCCCAGTGCGACCCTACCTAGGAGTTGGGGCCTCTAGGAAAGCAACATTAGTAGGAGCGGTAAACGCCGTCCTCCTCCTTCTCCTCATCGTCGTAGTTGTAGCGGTAGCAGTAGCAGTAGCAGTAGCAGTAGCAGTAGCAGTAGCAGTAGCAGTAGCAGTAGCAGTAGCAGTAGCAGTAGCAGTAGCAGTAGCAGTAGCAGTAGCAGTAGCAGTAGCAGTAGTAGTAGTAGTACTACTACTACTACTACTACTACTACTAGTAGTAGTAGTAGTAGTAGTAGTAGTAGTAGTAGTAGTAGTAGTAGTAGTAGTAGTAGTAGTAGTAGTAGTAGTAGTAAGTAGTAGTAGTAGTAGTAGTAGTAGTAGTAGTAGTAGTAGTAGTAGTAGTAGTAGTAGTAGTAGTAGTAGTAGTAGTAGTAGTATAGTAGTAGTAGTAGTAAGTAGTAGTAGTAGTAGTAGTAGTAGTAGTAGTAGTAGTAGTAGTAGTAGTAGTAGTAGTAGTAGTAGTAGTAGTAGTAGTAGTAGTAGTAGTAGTAGTAGTAGTAGTAGTAGTAGTAGTAGTAGTAGTAGTAGTAGTAGTAGTAGTAGTAGTAGTAGTAGTAGTAGTAGTAGTAGTAGTAGTAGTAGTAGTAGTAGTAGTAGTAGTAGTAGTAGTAGTAGTAGTAGTAGTAGTAGTAGTAGTAGTAGTAGTAGTAGTAGTAGTAGTAGTAGTAGTAGTAGTAGTAGTAGTAGTAGTAGTAGTAGTAGTAGTAGTAGTAGTAGTAGTAGTAGTAGTAGTAGTAGTAGTAGTAGTAGTAGTAGTAGCGCCAGAACCACCGACGCCACGCCGTAAGTGAAGCAGCAGCAGAAGCAGGCAGCAAGTCGCCGAGACAGCAGCAAAAGCAAGCAGGATCGGAGATGAGGGCGGGGCACTGGGGAGTTCTTTACATCTACATCTATAGCTACACCTATATCTACATCGACACCTACATCTACATCTAGACCTACATCTACATCTACACCTACAGCTACATCTACATCTACACCTGCATCTACATCTACATCTAATCAACAGCGAGACTCACATGCATGGAACATACGTGCGCACACACACACACACACACATTTGAGTACATATAAAAAATATAGCAGCAGCAATAGTGGATGCTGTGCTGCGCTATGCTATGCTATGCTATGTCATGCTATGCTATGCTATGCTATGCTATGCTATGATATGCTATGCTGCGCAATGTTATGCTGGGCTAGGCTAGGCTATGCTATGCTATGCTATGCTGCGCTATGATATACTGCGCTATGCTATGCTATGCTATGCTTTTACTTTGCCTTCGCTTTTGCCTTCACGTTTGCCTTTGCTTTTGCTTTTGCTTGGCACCCAGGGAGCGCAACTGGGGGAACCGCGCGTTTGCTTTTACCTTTGCTGTTGCTTTTGCTTGGCTCCCAGGGGACCGGGGGAACCGCCCGGGGCGGGCTACACTGCCCGGCCCCTTTAAGCCAACAGAGTAAGAACCCTTCTAGGCAGAGCCTAGGTAGGGAAAAATAGCCCCCCAGATGTGTAGACCTAACAGGCCGGCTTGAAACCTTGACTAGAAAAGTCCAGGCCAATTGCATCTTACCCTCATGGAAAATCAATAACCCCAATCTCCCGCATCCCCCTTTTCCAGAAGAGCGCGTAGGCCTGTAGGCCTCTGGAGGCTTCATGAGGCCCAGAAGCGTCCGAACGACTCTACCCCGATACTCAAACGTGAGGGAGAGGAGAAGGGATCTTCCTCTTCGTTTCGA